CTTGTAAAATACAAGCAAGATGCAGAAGTCTTTGCGGAGCATAATAAAAGTATCCTCGACTTCCAGAAAACTGTTGTGAAGTATTCTGGCAAACCTTTCAGTCAGGGCAGAATTTGTTTCTGAGAAGAAAAATAATTGCTGCTACTCTTTTCTGCTGTTGCTAGGTAGAAGATATAGTGTCTGGCACAAAATATGGTGGATTCAGTGGTCTGGCTAACACTTTTCAATTATTTCAACACCAGCAGGTCAAATTCCTCGATTAGATTATATTTTCTATCATCTAAATACTCTTACTTGCTTTGAAAAGGGAAGTGTTGAGCCCAGATGCAGAAAGTGATCATCCTTCCTGATCAGCAGTTAAGAATCTGATACTCAGGGGGCTAGGGCTGCTCTGTTTAAATGAAGTGGACAACTAGGATTCCTATTAAATTATTTTAATTATACTGTCTCATTATTTTATGGTTGTGTTGGTGTTTAAATTAAACTTTACAAAATAACTTTCTATTTCTTCTTTAGCCAGCTTTCAGTCTAATACTTGGGTGATTTCAGTTATACCTGGTTAAGTTTATGAAAAGGTGTGGAGAGGGTAGAAAGTATTATCTAAATAAAGTATGTCTCATTTGGATGTCAAAAGCAGAATTGGTTGCAAAATGGGGCTGGCGGGGAAGGAGGGGGAAGAGAATCTATGGAAAATGTTGCCCATTTTTGTGAAATTGAGAAGCCAAGTTTTGGTGAAAACAAATATTTGTCATGATCTGACCAAAGACATATTACAGATTATGGTCTATAACTGGGTATTGAAGTGAGGATATTTTCCCATCCCAAGGGTATAATTATAATATTGGGTTATAAGTTAAAGATGCAGATTACAGAAAAACAATTATTTTAAGTAACAAAATATACTGGTGTCTGCACTGGGTATATTCATTCTCCCATCTCTCTCCTGTAGCCACACTTTACTCTTAGGGCAATTTTACATGCTACAGGATGGGAGGAGGGAGAATGGATATACTCAGTGCAGACCTCAGGGCTATGGTGAAGAAACTAACTTTTGGTGTCCAGGACTTATGCTACTCTCCCACCTGCTCCTCTAAAGTTGATTCCCACCACCACTTCCCCTTGCTCTGTAGCTGCAGGTGGTGTGGTCTTGCAGGAGTGTTTCTTCTAGAAGTTTGCTGGATTCTAGTGGAGGATGGAATAATAACTCAATGAAAAGCCAAGAAAAGACAGGAAGGAAATATCTAGTCTCTTCTGCTTCATATTTATACCAGTGTGCATGGTTTGGCTTTAAAAATGAAATAATAAAGTGAGACAATAAGTAAAGCCCTGTTTATGCTAAGGAAATTGATTCTTGTGCAAACCCTTACGGTAGACAGGCCTGCTCTGCTGCAGTGAAACTTTACCTTGGTTCAGCCTGCTACAAAATGTTGCAGTCGAAAAATCTCCAAGAATAAAGGTCAAATATTTCTCTTGGCTGCAGGCATACAATTTTGATTGAAGCCAGTGGGAATTGCAAACATTTAGGGCAGATCTACACTACGGGGTTAAGTCAACCTAAGTTAAGCAACTCAAGCTACGTGAATAATATAGCTGAAGTCGATGTAGCTTAGGTCGACTTATTGCAGTGTCTGCACTGCGCTGGGTCGATGGGAGAGTTGACTTACGTTATGCTTCTCGTTCTGGTGGACTACAGGAATCGACAGGAGAGCTATCTGCCGTTGATTTAGTGGGTCTTCGCTGCAGTGTTGATCGCTGGTAGGTGTAGACATACCCTTAGTGAATGACAGAATTTGAGGCTGTTAACTTGTCCAGCACTGCTAGTGTACTCACGTAAATAGAAATTTCAACAGTTAACAAGCACCATCTGAAGAAGGCCTTATTGCCTTTGCTCATTTTTGGATATTGGATATAAGTGTAGATTTGAATGAAGGTCAATATACCAATCAGTATATAACATGCTCCCTTCAGTTTTTAACTCACTTGTTCCATTTGTAGCCTATATGTCATCGGAGACCATCTACAATAAAGGGTCATTAGGCAGTAGACAGATTAGCAACATGGACTCTGAATTCCCATATTGCTAGTCAAACATTTGAGGCTACAGTGGAGTTGCATCATAGGCGCATTTAACTTACGCGATTTTAACTATACTCGCTCAGCAAAACAAAAACAAAAAGAGAAAGACAACAATTTAAATACTGTACCTGTAGTGCGGGCGATTCTGCCCGCCGTTCCACTCAATGAGCGTTTGACTATACGCGATTTTCTCCTTACGCGCTGACTTCAGAACCTAACCCCCGCTTAAGATGCGACTCCCCTGTATTTGAATGTAGGTATAAATGTAACAGTACTTTCACTCCCATGTTAAAGACTGTATTCTGTGAGTTGGGAGTGGTGACGTTGATTGTAACATGGAATGCTAGATCACAAATGTGATTCGTGTCCAGTTCATTTTGCAGTTGGCATTACAAGAAATATATGCTTCAAATGAAGCTGGAGTTTGAGATATGTGAGATACTGGAGACTAGTGTCAGTTGTAAAAGTTCTGAATTGTGTTAACTTTTTAGTGAATGCTCTATAATGATTCCATAAGGTTGTAACTGATGCCTGGTGAAACATACTTTACAGGGAGCTTTTTCTTTGTCTAAAACTAAGTAGTGAAAAAAATTGATTAACATACTTACTGGTTTACATAGATGCAGAGAAACTTGAAGGGAGGGGGGTAAAAATATCCTTCTGCCACTTGACTAGGCCCTGGTCTACACTGGGCGGGGGGGGGGGGAAATCGATCTAAATTATGCAACTTCGTAGCTGAAGTCGACGTACTTAAATCGACTTACCGTGGTGTCTTCACTGTGGTGAGTCGACTGCTGCCGCTCCCCCATCGACTCTGCTTGAGCCTCTCGCAGCGCTGGAGTACAGGAGTCGACGGGAGAGGGCCGGGGGTCGATTTATCGCTTCTAGAGTAGGCACGATAAATCGATCCCTGCTGGATCGATCGCTGCCCACCAATCCGGCGGGTAGTGTAGACATACCCTTAATCTTTCACAGGAGTATTTGTTACGAAATGATTATTTGAGAGGTATAAACAGACATCCATCTTAATGGCTTGCTAACTGTGAAACACTTAGCTTTGTAGGAGCTGCTGCCCCCCGCCACCTCAGCAGAGGGCACTGTGTGTATTGAGGAGCAACCTTGTTGCCATCCCCTTATCAAGCTCTGCCCTGTTGACATAGGCCCACCTCCTCCTCCCTGTCTTCTACTCAGTTGCACAGGAGTTGCCTTCCAGGACCAAATCCAACTTGCTGGAAGATGGGTATTCAGATAAATGGGGTTGGCAGAGGGACCCAGCCTAACCAGAGAATGGTGATGTGTCCTCACCAATCCATCAGACTTGTGTAGATGGGGCCATTCTGACGGTCTGGGATCAGGAGGCGGCACTGTCCGGCAAGGGGGTCAGTACTCCCAGGGTCCAGACTTCTGCTCTTTGTTTGCGGAGTTTCTGCTTGGTCTCCCCAGCAGAGGTGGTCAACTGCTGATTGGTGGCTGCTGCAGCAGTGGGGAAGCAAGAGTGGCAAGGAGCCTGGTTCCAGCAGTTGAGATGCCCTCTCACAGCCCCATCCACTTTTCCTGCCAGACGAAATCCCCTCCTGACACCAGTTCTTCAGTGTGGCCCCATCAGGTCCTGGTGCCCGTCTGACAGCCTCGTCATGTGCCCTCCATGTGGGGGGCACATCCCACGTTTTGCAAACTCCTGTTTCAATCCATTCCAGAGAAGCATTATGGTCTGGCTAGGTGTGATTTAGTGATCATATATGTAGGTTCTGTGGCTCTGAGAAAACAACACACTTGAAGAAATACTCTGTTCAGGTGACATCATGTGTTTTAGAGGTTGTGTACACTTAAAATGCTAAAGTGGCACAGCTGCACCACTGTAGACACTACCTACGCTGACAGGAGGACTTATCCTGTTGGTGTAGGTCATCCACTTCTCCAAGAGGCGATAGCTAGGTCGACAGAAAAATTCTTCTGTTGATCTAGTGCTGTCTACACCTGGACTGAGGCTGGTTTAAGTACACCACTTAGACATGGATGTTTTTATTTTTATTTTTTGCACCCCTGACCAGTGTAGTTAAATTGATCTAATTTGCTGGTGTAGATCAGGCCTTAGTAATCTTCCCTTGAGGTACTGGAATTCCTCAAAATGAGTTTAGTACTTTTAAAGACCAACATACTCCTTGGTGTACCTATTGGTATGGATATATTTGCATTTGTGTGAATGTTCAATCATAGAAAGAAAGCTATTGGCTACTGCTGCTAAAAGACATCCAGGAGCAGCAAATAATTCAGTATGACACCCCCCTCTCTCCATTCACAGTTGCAAATTATAGTAATTTTAAAATATGAACATAGCTTCTCAAATGAAGCAGCGGGCAGCTATGGTAGCTAAGTCAATTTCCCCCCCAGATATTTTGCCTAGACCTCTTCCGCTGGTGTTACCTGGACGGATCTTGAACCAGCTAGTTTGTATCCAAGCCACAATCTCTTTGCCAGATATTGAAAACTACTCTAAAACTCTGCCAAATTTTGATCTCTTAAAAATTGCCCTCTCCTGCTCCAGGAGAATACATATCAGACTGTCTTCAAAGTAACATTTACTTGTCTTGGTTCCAGCAGTTTATTATCTGAGGAAAATTCTTAACTGAATTAATATACTCTATACCAAATTTCATCTTGATGAGAATTAATTGGTCTCCATAATAAATTTGAGAATGGATTTAATTGAAATGGAACCTCTAGTATAACCATAGTATCGCATCAGTAACACAGTGCTGTTAAATTAATTGCTGGAATATTTTACACTTCTAATACATGCAACCTGAATTTATTTAAGCATTGAATTAAACACATCTTGAAAATACAGTATATTCTCAGTCAGTATTTGCTGTTATGTTTTCTTGTTAAATCAACATTATAATCCTGCTTTCATTTCCCTCCAGATGATGAAACATTCCTGGGATAATTATAAGCGTTATGCTTGGGGATTAAATGAACTGAAACCCATATCTAAACAAGGACATTCAAGCAATTTATTTGGTGAGTAGTTTGTACTTTTGTACTTAGTAACATGAATGTTAGGACAGTAAACCAGTTGAAGAGATTACAGTGGTGACACACATGCTCTTCCCAGCTGTTGTGATACTGACATTTTTTGCATAGAATGTTGTGTATAGAAGTTAACATACTAAGGTCACGGCTTGAATTGTCTTGTCACAAGTTACGTCATCTTGCTCCTCTGAATGAAGATAATGAATCATTTCCGCGCTATACCATATGTGGATAATTACACTGTATTACACTACTCTGATCCAGATCACTTTGTCACTACACACAGTAAAAACATAAAGTAAAAAATTAAATGCTATACCAGGGACATAGCTACCACTACCTATTCCATGTGGGTGCAAAAGTGGAGCTTTCACAAGTATCTTCTGGCAAGGAGTGAGTGACCTGTTAATTGACTTGAAATGGAGAAAATCTCTAACTGGTTCTCTCTTTTTTGTGAGATGGCCTATAGTTGTACCCATAAATGTTGCAAGAGATATAGCTATAAATTAGTGTTAGACATTTCTTCAGCCCAAAATTAGCTTGAAAAAGTTACAGCTGTACTGGAAGAGTGTGGACAGAAGACAAAGGTAATGCATTTTAGAAATATCTTTTAATTTTAGAAATGGTGCAGGACTTAATAGAAGAGCAGAAGCTAAAGGAGAGGTTGAGTGGAGAACACTGCTTCCTTATGCACAGATTAGTGTTGGCTTAAACCTTTTAGAACAGAAGAAAACCCCTGAAAATTGCTTATTAGAATATAGAAACTGTTGTCAGTCTTCATTATTCTGGAAATAATAAAAGTGAACTAATTTCCCTGATGCCCACAAGATGGTGCATAGCTTTGATTTATTAGAAAGATACAAAAATATGTAAAACTATATATATTTTTAAAATAGGGTGTTTATATCTTGCTTGAAACGGGAGAAGAGATGAAAAATTGTATTATCTTTGGATGACACTCCTAAAACAGCCTAAATGCAGCATTTAGCAAATCCTCAAGAGTTAAATATTCTAGTGCAGCATTTCCAGAAGTTTGGGTTTTACCCCCCTCAGGATTCAAAGGTTGAGTGTATGTGTAGGGAAATGGGGTGGGGGGGGGTGAGAACATAAGAATGGCCATAATGGGTCAGACCAGTGGTCCAGCTAGCCCAGTGCCCTTTTTTCTGACTGGCCAGTGCTTCAGAGAGAATGAACAGAACAGGGCAATTGAGTGATCCATCTCCTGGTGTCCAGTCCCAGCATCTGGCAGTCAGAGGCTTAGGGACACCCAGAGCATGGGGTTGCATCTCTGATGATCTTGGTAAATAGCCATTGATAGACTTCTCCTCCATGAACATATCTAATTCTTCTTTGAACTCCGTTATACTTCTGGCCTTTACAACATCCCATGGCAACGAGTTCCACAGGTTGACTGCGCGTTGTGTGAAGACGTACTTCCTTCTGTTATGTGAAGAGGTAAATAACACTTCCCTATTCACTTTCTACACACCATTTATGGTTTTATAGACACCTATCATATCTTCCCTTTGTTCACCTTGGAAAAGAGACGACTGTCCCAGTTTTTGAATCTCTCCTCATCTGGAAGCTGTTCCATACCCCTAATCATTTTTGTTGCCCTTCTCTGTACCTTTTCCATTTCTAATATCTTTTTTGAGCTGGGAAACTAGAACTGCATGTGGTATTCAAGGTGTGGGTGTATCATGGATTTATATAGTGGCATTATCTTTTCTGTCTTATCTGTCTCTTTCTTAATGGCTCCTAATGTTCTGTTAGCTTTTTTGACTGCCGCTGCACATTTGAGGAGCTGTTTTCAGAGAACTGTCTACAATGACTCCAAGATCTTTCTTGAGTGGGAACAGCTAATTTAGACCCCATCATTTGTGGGTCTAGTTGGCATTATGTTTTCCAATGTGCATTACTTTGCATTTATCAACACTGAATTTCATCTGCCATTTTGTTGTCCATTCACCCACTATTGTGAGAACCCTTTGCAGCTCTTCATAGCTGCTTTGGACTTAGCTATCTTCAGTAATTTTGTATCATCTGCAAAATTTACCACCTCACTGTTTATCCCTTTTATGAATATATTGAATAGCACAGGTACCAGTACAGACCCCTAGGGACACCACTATTTACATCTCTCCCTTTTGAAAACTGACCATTTATTCCTACCCTTTTTCCTGTCTTTTAACCAATTACTGATCCATGAGAAGATCTTCCCTCTTATCCCATGACTGCTTATTTTGCTTAAGAGCCTTTGGTGAAGGACCTTACACTTGGACTTACAGAAAAATCTTTGACACTATATGCACTGGATCACCTTTGTCCATGTTTGTTAGACCCTCTCAAAGAATTCTAATAGATTGATGAGGCATGATTTCCCTTCACAAAAGTCGTTTTGACTCTTCCCCAACAAATAATATTAATCTATTTATCTGATTAAAGCTATAGTAAAGAAGAGAATTAACCAATTTGCCTGAAAGTTAAGCTTACAGACCTGTAATTGCCAGATGGTCTCTGGAGCCTTTTTAAAAAATTGATGTCACATTATGTATCTTCCTGTTATCTGGTACAGAGGCTGACTTGAGTGATGTACCACAGCTAGTAGTTCTGCAATGCATACTTAGGTTCCTTCAGAACTCTTGCATGAATACCATCTGGCCCTGGTGACTTATTACTTTTTAGGTCATCGGTTTGTTCCAAAACCCTTCTCTATTGATGCCTTAATCTGGGACAGTTCCTCAGATTTGTCAGCTAAAAAGAATGGCTCAGGTGTGGGAATCTCCCTCCCATCCTTCTGTAGTGAAGGCTTCATTTAGCTTTTCTGCAATGGCCTTGTCTTTCTAGTGTGCTCCTTTGGCACCTCAATCGTCCAGTGGCCTCACTGATTGTTTGACAGGCTTCCTGCTTCTGATGTACTTGAAGTATTTTTTGCTGTTTAGTTTTTGTCTTTCGCTAATTGCTCTTCAAATTCTTTATTAGCCTTTCTAATTATACTTGACTTGCCAGAGTTTATGCTGCTTTCTATTTTCTTCAGTAGGATTTGACTTCCAATATTTAAATTATATCTTTTTGTCTCTAACTTTTTCTTTTTACTTTTTTTAGCCATTGAATTTTTTTGGTCCTCTTACATGTATACCCCAAATTAAACACCACAGTAATTTGAGCCTCTATTATGGTGTTTTTTAAAATTTCCATGCAGTTTGGAGGCATTTCACTCTTGTGACTTCCTTTTAAGTTCTGTTTTTAACTAGTGTCCTCATTTTTGTGTAGCTCCCCTTTTTGAAGTTAAATGCTACGGTGGGAGCTGCTTTGGTATATTTCCCCCCTACAAGGACGTTAAATTTAATTACATTATTGTCGTTATTACTGAGTGGTTCAGCTATATTCACCACTTGGGGACTAAATCAAAAATGCCTCTCTCCTTGTGAGTTCCAGGACTAGCTGCTCCAAGAAGCAGTTACTAATAGTGTCTAGAAATTTTATTTGTGCATCCAATCCTGAGCTGACATGTACCTAGTCAATATGGGGACAGTTGAAATCCCTCATTATTATTGAGTTTTTTCTATTTTTATAGCTTCTCATCTACTTGAGCATTTCATAATAACTATCATCATTCTAGTCAGGTGGTTGGTAGTATATTCCTATTATACTCAAGCCTGGAATTTCTATCCATAGAGATTTCATGGTACAGTTTGATTCACTTAAGATTTTTACTAAATTTTACTCTATATGCATGCTTTCATTTATAGTGCCTCACCCCCACCAGAACAACCTGCTCTGTCATTCCTATATATTTTGTCCCATTATCATACCATCAGGTTTCTGTGATGCCTATTATATCAGTATCCTCATTTAATACCAGGCAGTCAAGTTCACCCATCTTAGTACTTGGACTTCTAGCATTTGTATATAAGCAGTTACAAAATTTTTCAATATTTAGTGGTCTGCCTTCATGTGATGTAATTGAATAGGACTCTTTTTCATTTGACTGTTCCTATTCAGTTCCTACCTGTACTTTATCAGTTTCTATCCTCTCCTTTTTAATAGGATATAGAGAATCCCCATTAAAAGATCCTCCCCTAAGGGATGTCTCTGTCCCAAACCGTGTGCTCCTCTGCACTTGTTGACTCTCCCTCCCCACTTAGTTTAAAAAAAAAAAAAAAAACTCCTCTACGACCTTTTTAATTTTACATGTCAGCTATCTGGTTCTGTTTTGGTTTAGGTGGAGCCCATCCTTCTTGTATAGACTCCTCCTTTTCCAAAAGGTTCCTCAATTCCTAATAATCCTAAAAAATTCCTCACTATATCATTGTTTCATCTGCATGTTGAGATCCTGCAGTTCTGTCTGTCTAATTGGACACATGCATGGAACGGGAAACATTTCGGAGAATGCTACCATGAAGGTCCTAGGCTTTAATCTCTTACCTAGCAACCTAAATTTGGACTCCATGTCTTGAGAGATCAGCAACCTTTCCTTTGCACCTGACAGGCAATTTACCTCCATGAGGTTCTCCAGGTGATTACAAACACAGTTGTTTATATTTCCTATGATCCTCCATTACTATTACCTATCTTCCTAATAACTTGGGTCCCCTCACCCAGAGGGGTGTCCTCAGTGTGAGAGGATACTATGACATCATCTGGAAGAGGAGAGTCTCAACTATGGGATCATTTCCTTCCTCTCCAATTAGACTTTCTTCCTCCTCACCAGCACAGAGGCTGTCAGAGTAGGGGTCGGACGCTCTACTGTGTCTCATAGACTCAAGGTCAGAAGGGACCATTATGGTCATCTAGTCTGACCTCCCGCATGATGCAGGCCACATAAGCTGACCCACCCACTTTCCCTTAACTCAGCTGTTGAAGTCTCTAGATCGTGATTTAAAGACTTCAACTTGCAGAGAATCCTCCAGCTTGCGACCCCTGCCCCATGCTGCGGAGGAAGGCGAAAAACCTCCAGGGCCTCTGCCAATCTACCCTGGAGGAAA